GGCAGCACATGCTTGAGCACTTTCCGGTCCCAGTCAAACTAGGGTTTGACAACCTCGAGGTAGTACATGCCTAACAACTTGTCAAAAGGTAAGTCGTCGCTGACTAGGAACGAAATCTGATGATCAAGTTCCCCACCTCCATAAGAGAAGGCGCATACCATATCCTTAATGTCGTCCTTTACCATCATGCGCTCTTTGTTGGCTAGAGTAGATGCTACAGGTCTACTCAAGCGCTGCACTCGGTCGCCTAGGCGCAGTCTCTCAACGCAGTCGCGACTTATAAAGTTTCACATGGAGCCGATGTCTACGAAGCCACCACACTTGCGGCCACCTACACCGACTTCCACAACGAAATGCTCCCCTCTAGAACCTTTTGACAGTGCCACCCAAGACTCACGAGGGTCCTTTGCCGACCACTTGGTTTCTAAGTCTTCAAAGGCTTCAGACACATCCAATGAACAAAAACCAACAAATTCTTGATGTCTGTGGGAAGGTATCTCAAGAACATGGTTAGGAGGACTTGGGGATCATAGCGAACTCATGGAACTACCACCAGTTTCTCTACAACACTTGTAAGGTCTCACACAGTCTTGTACTTCTTAGCATCAAGATGGGCCAACGCATCAGTGGTTTGCTGGGCCTGCTGAGGGTTGTGTCATCGCGCCTTCACCAAGTCCATAAAGCTTTGTAGAGTCTGGGTCTTGGCCCAGTCGTTCGTTCGTCTGGCGAATCCCTTTATTGCTATATGCCCATTCAGCCATCTCACTGCCGGTCCTTCAAGGTAGAAAGCAAAAGTGATCACCTCCTCCTCACACAGGGTATGCTTGGCCCTCACCCACAATGGAACCGTCCTCAACCAAGTGTCGAGGGCCTCATCCTTCTTGTCTCTTGTGAAGGCAATCGGGGGTTTCATTGGGGTTTTCGAATACCAAGGTTGCTGTGGTCCAGTCTGTCCGGCTTGTTGAGCCGGTGACTGGACCGACTGCTCCTCTGCAACTGCAGCAGTTGGACCTGAGGATGAAGAAGCAACAGTCCGTGCTGCTGCTGCTGACGTTCCACCTAGTATGACACCAAGCTGTGGAACAAAGGCACATGTCATCGCCGGTAATGGAACAGGTGATGGAAAAACTGCTTGCTGCTGGACACTGGGCCCGCTAGGTATGGAGGGTAGTGGTCCTCCCCTTCCCTGCACGACAACCAGTATCTGGTCAAGGGTTGACTGAAAATCATCCAGTCGGCTGCCAAAATATTCATTGAAACCAAGCAGATTCGCCCGGATGATCTTTCTTGCATCATCCATGACTGAATCATCTAACCCTTGTAATGCAGCTTCGCTCTGCTCTCCAGTCTAGCTTTCTGAGCTCTAATCTTATCATGTCTGTTTGTAGCATCCCTGAGTTGCTTTTCTAACTGTGTGCGGAGTAGCTCTACTTGTTGGAGTTCTAACTTCTACCTTGTGGGCGGAGGTGGCATGCTGTACTACGAGCCCGCCATCTGACTGCTAGAGGGTCCTCCACTCATCCCACTAGATGAGACAACGGATATTGCAAAGGTTCCTGAGGTCTTCTGACTTTGCGAGGTCGCCACTGAAGTTGACATGGTGGCAGCACTAGCTGCTGCTGCTGCTAACACACGTTCTGCCTCTGCGGCTGCCTGTCTGGCCCTGTGCAAACGTTGGGCCCTTGCTTTGGCCCGGAACCTTGCCTCGTCCCCTGGTAGCAGAACTTGGAACACAACGGGAATTCGTTGTGTATCCCGCTGTGTCTGCCTCCTATCGCCAGCTGTCCCTTCCTCGTTATCTGTACCGCTCATCAGCTAGGCAGATCCCTGTCTGCACTAGTGCCCTCCCTGAGGCCGGCCAAGTAAAATAAAATAAAATAAATAAATATCCGGCAAGTCAACCAGGCTACCAATCAGATGGGGTCAACAGTTTATACACAGACTGGGCAAGTGGTCTATTCCTTCTTTGATCACTTCTCTTACAGCAACAACGAATCAGAACTGGCAATGGTAGACTACTATAGTTCAAGTCTAATGCTTTATGTTAGGTGTTAGCAGTCTGTCCACCTCAACTAATCAAAAAATAAAAATAAATCACTTGCACAAATGTATGCAGAAATGGGAATAATTGTGTCTATGTACGAGCACCAATTGGAATCTTACCTTCCCTTGTATCCGACGATCCTGACTTGCATCATCGAGCAGCGGTGTCTAAGGTTTGCATATCGGCCCACCCTTGTGCCCAGGAATCCGCTTATGACCAGTTTTGCGCATGGTTTACCCTCGCGTGCAACGAGCCTTACATCCGATGATCTGGCTGATGAAGAGGCAATTTAAGGACGGCCCCAAAAGTCCTCAGGAATTATTTAACGTCGCAGACAGGACGACGATCACAGCCAGATATCAGATCCGGCCAGAGGTTCTTTGTAGACGATCTGGAACACGTCTTGCATGGACTGGTCAGTCCACGTTCCCTCTACAGCGCATGCGGACAATGCAGCATGGCCTGCGTGCACTACTCCCGTGGGTTGGCATGATGACCGTGACCCGTGCTTCATCTAGGGCCCGCCATTGGCACCGCCCTCTCCTGCCAGATGCGCCAACAGGAAGATTGTCGACTCTCAAGGTAGAGCGCTCACGACTCCTGACCAAGAAGAGGACTCAAGTCGAACTCACCTCCCCACGGTAAGAGGAGATTGAGATGGGAAGATAAGGTAAGGGAACAACGTACCTGAAGATAGCTGGCCCCAACCACAGAGTTCTGAAACGGTTTTCACCTTTCTGCAGTCACAGATGCGGGCCCTAGAGTTCGATCCCCAGACCTCACTTTGCCCATGTACAGTATTGAGTCGACACCCGAGTGTTTGAACCCGTGACCTGTGTTCTGGTAATTGTTTGTCGTCTGTCGTAGGTCTGTGTAGTGGTAGGGGTTAGATATGTAGGTCTGTTGATTAGGAGTCACAACTTTGTAGAGATCGTAGCTGTAGGTATTTTGAAAGGTCAAGGTCGTAGCTACTACAGTCCTGAAAGGTCAAGGTCGTAGCTGCTACAGTACCCGAAAGTCCAAGTCCATAGACTTCCAGAAGGTCCGGAAGTGGCCTTTCAAAGTGTCTCACATTTAGTCAGGGGCAAGTGGTCAAGTGGTGAGCCCAACTACGTTACATCGGTAGTGCGACTGCATCGAGTTGGCAGTGCAAACCCATGCAGTCAGCGGTACCGGTCCCAGTCAGTCAGAGTCTAGTCAAGCAAGTACCGTGTGGGACTATGTGCACCACGAGCCTGGGAAAGGGGCAGACCAACGAGCTACAAAAGCATAAATCAAGAGGCAGCGCCCAGCCATTCATTCATTCGTTGTGTAAGCCATGCGGAAGCGCTGCTACAGTGTCTTGTGCAAAGGTGGTCTGCAGGTTGCCCGAAGACGAAGTGGGCTAAGGAGTGATCTCGTAGACATAGTCAGTAGGGGTAGAGCAGCCATAGCCGCGATAGGTTAGTGTGTGTGTGTGGTTGTATTCAGGGTGATCCAGAGTTGAGTTGAGTATGTGTGAACAGTGGTGGTGAACGAAGTGGCGAGAGTTGTTCTATGAAGGCGCTAAGGCGCCATAGCTTGTTAAAGCGAGTTTACATCTGAATTGTGTTCTCGTTTGCCATATCTCCGAGCCTTTATGTGGGCGTTGAGCGCCAGTGTGAGCCGCCAACTGTTTGCATGTATGCAAAGTGGAAAAGAAAGCGAGTCTGATTGCATTGGTATTAGAGCTGGTTCCCGTTACCCCACGGGCCATAGTCGTTGCCAGCAGGAAGAAAACGCGCGCCAGTGGGCGCCATAGCTGAGGTGCGCCGAAGGAAGAAAAATCCACCATAGCTTTGTTGCGAAGTGAAGTGCTGCGTACCTGCATAGAAGACAACGACAAAGAGAGAGAGAGAGAGAGAGGGAGAGAGAGAGAGAGAGAGAGAGAGAGAGAGAGAGAGAGAGAGAGAGAGAGAGAGAGAGAGAGAGAGAGAGNAGAGAGAGAGAGAGAGAGAGAGAGAGAGAGAGAGAGAGAGAGAGAGAGAGAGAGAGGAGCAATACAAGATTGTTGTGAGGACCAAAGGAGAAAGCGGCCACAGCCGCGGAGCTCGGACGCAAGGTTATCGAGAGGAAGAAAGGTGAAGCAAGGGAGAAGGAAGGAGGGACGAAAGAGAGAGAAGCCATAACTGAGGAAGAAGAGGGAGGAGACAAAAAAAAAAAAAAAAGGAGATATAGCCGGGGGTGCGGAGAGAAAGAAAGTGAGGAAGAAGGAAGGTGGGGGAAAGAGAAGCGAGGGCTGGTAAGGAAGAAAGTGGCGGCAGCCATAGCCGAATCAAGGGTTGACTAAGGTGTTGACCGAAGGGTTGACCAACGTTGACCAACGTTGACCAACGTTGACCAAGACTTTGACCGGAGAGTTGACCGGCGAGCTGTATGGAGTTGACCAGCGTTGACCGGCGTTGACCAAGCGTTGACCAAGGCGTTGACCGGTGTTGTTGACCACGAAGTTGACCAAGCTGGAGTTGGTATATTCTTGCCAAGCCTTCAGCCCATTCCCTCGCCCTATGGATGTGCACTCACCCCATGGTACTTGCTGAGTCTGACTGTCTCTTCTTTCTACATTGAGTCTCTTATGTCCAGGTGATAGGAACTCTGTGTATGTGGTCATAGAGCTTCGTTGACCAAACCCACACGGGCTGAGTAGGGTTAAAGGTTGTGTCTGACGACTCGACTGACTCGGAGGACACGAACCCTCCCAAGGACCGGTATAGACTGGCGGGCTGCTCGGTGTGGCACAGTAGGCCCAAAATCCGAGTTGTGGGCTGCACAACAAGTTGTCTACATCTTGAGAGGACTTGCTGATCGCGTCGTCCTGTTTGCGACGTTAAATAATTCCTTAGGAGTTACGGGGAGTCTCCTTAAATGCCTACTGATCAGCAGTAAGTCTTGTAGTGACAGCCTTAGTTTAGGTCTAGACTAGAGACCCTAGTTGACAGGATCTTGCTAAGATTTTGTGGTCCTTAGTTGAGTCAGTCCTAGGTTGAGTCAGTCAAGGGTGTAAGTCTAAGTGGTGAGGAGTGGGACTGATTCTGGGTTGTACACCTTTCACTATGGTGGACACGCGTAGTGGCAAGAGCACCACCCCTTACACCAAGGCCCAGGAAGAGCAGGTTGCCACCGTCCTTAGAGAGAGAAAGGAGAAGCAGACGAAGGAGTTGATTAAGCAGGCCAAGAAGTTGGCCTTGCAGGAGGAACAGGCGGCAAAGAGAAAGAAGTTGGAAGAAGAAATGGAGAGACTAAAGAAGGAGGAGGAAGAAAAGATGAAGGAAGTGGAAGAGGAGGAGATAGAGGAAGAAGAAGAAAAAGAAGAGCCCTTGCTCAAAAGAAGTGCAGAGCAGAGAGGTGAAACCAGCGGCACGAAGAAGGAGGAATCATGGCTGGAGAAAAAATTGTCTGAGTGGGTAGCTAATTTATCTTTGGGAGAAGAGGAAGAGGCCATGTTATATGTTCCCCCAGAGGAGAAGGAAGCCGTAATCAGGGAGTGGGAGGCAGAAAAAGACCCTCTGAGGCGTCAGACTATAGAGGAGGAGAAGAAGTTAGAATGAAAATTGCGTCTCACAAGGGAAAAGAAGAGAAGGATGGAGGAGACAAACAAGATGGCGAGGGAATTGGAGATGATAAAGGCGCAGAGGGAAGAGATTCGGGCGCAAAAAGATATACAGGGAAAGTTAGATGTGATTTCAAGGAATATAGAACTCCTAGCTAGGGCCTGGGACAAGCAACACCAGTTTGCTAGGGCCCAGTATATCGCCTTACATTCCATTCGCCCGGGATTCCGGGATTTCGCACGTGAGATGATGCTGCACGTAGGTGCAGAAGTGCAGGCGAAGATAAAGGGTACAGAGAAATTATGTACATGCGCCATTGAAGGTGCAAAGTTGGCCGCTCCTAAGGAGGAAGAGCCACACCCTCGTAGAGAGCCCGTGAAGATCAAATTTCCTGAGCCCTACAGTGGGAAAAAGGAAGAGAATTTTGATAATTGGGAGGCGAACGTTAACACATATGTCTATTTACAACATATTGTGCCTGAGGAACAAGTCCTCATAGCCATCCAGACCCTCAAGGATGAAGCAGCCAGCTTCGCTAGATCACTCGCCTGCGCCGCACAGTGTGAGAACAATATGGTTGCCTATTCCAAGGTCACCCCTCTCCATGAGTTCTTTCGGCTCCTTAAGGAGCGATTTGCAGATGTCATGCGAGGCATCAGGGCCTCCGACAAACTGCAAACTATCCACTCACGCCAGTGGAGGAGTGCAAGGGCACTCAAAGGGGTAATGGACGAGCTTGTAACCGTCCCAGACCACAGGGTCACTGAGCCCAAGTTGGTCAATCTCTTCTATCATGCCATGCCAGAGCCCCTACGGGTGCATTTCTTTGAAAAGAGCCGACAGCCCATTATGACGTACAAAGCGTTGAGTAGAGAAGTGGTGTTGTTTGAGGCACAGTCCATGCCAGTTTCCACTTTCTGGCACAAGGACTTAGATAAAGGGAAAAAGTGGAAAGGCCGTACCATCTCAGGGCAGGTAAAGGGAAAGGATCATTCGATCCTTACGTTAGATGAAGGTGGTACACATGAGGTCTCGTATAGCCATATTGAGTGGGGCCTGGAGGAGGAGGACAGTAGTGGGGGTCAGAGGAGGACCTACGCTGCTGTCACGGCTGGAGGGAGGCCGCAAGGAAGAGGAGGAGGCCAGGGCTAAGGGGGTCGGGCCTCAGGTGGCTGAGGACAGGGCGCTCAGGGGGTTGGCGGCAGAGGAAACCGCCAAGAGGGAGGTAGGGGTCAAGGTCCCCCGCCAAATCGCTCACGATCCTATAGGTCACCTCCACGTCGAGGTGGATGGCATCCAGGCTTGCCGCAAGGTAGGCCATGAGAAGATTTGGGCTTAGAACAGTCAGTGTGGCAAAGGTGGATTGATCAGGATCAGTGTATCTATTGCGATGATCCTGGTCACATCATCAAATTTTGCCTGAAGTATAGAGAAGCCCGGTATGCAACACAAGCAGCAAAGGCAACCGCCAGTAGGGGTCGCAACTGCCCTTACCTCTAGGCCATGTGGAGAAGAGTGCGCGCACCAGAGAGGAACTCCCAAACCATATGAGCCTACGGCAGAGGTTGCTGGCCAGTACCTGGACAACTGTCCAGAGACTGCTTGTGTACGAGTTTCTCTAGGTACTTCCCTCACAGGTGTGGCTGAAGAGTTGAAGGAGAGGATGCCTGCCTGGGCCAAGATGAAGAAGGATGCCAAAGGACAGCTAGTTTTAGTAGATGTAGAGATTTTTAGAGGTAGAGTAGGGGCCCTTATAGACAGTGGGGCCACCGCAGCTATATTAGTAGGAAAGCGTTGCGGAAGTTAAAGATAAACCTGAAAGTCCAAAAACTAGAAGACCCTATAGTCAGTATCCTCGCAGACAATCGCACTATGCGAGTCGAGGATTACGTCGAGGGAATCCAGGTGTACTTTTGCCTAGAGAAAGATGGGAAGGTTGATAAAGTTCTCCATTCCCTGACTCTCCTCGTAGAAGACAGTCTTCCTGTTGAAATGGTCCTAAAAATGGACTGGGGAGAGGCATTAGGGGCCACACTCCATTTGAGAGAACACGAGTGTAGGCTCCCTAGTCCCACAGGTGTAGTTAAGACTGCTCGCCTGTTTCATGTGTCTGGAGTACCCTGGCACATTGCTGCCTCAGTGCTCCCGCGTTCACACGATTGGTAAAGGAGGAACAGTTAGAAGAATATGTTTTTGTAGCTTACATGAGGCCAGTCACTGAGCCTAAGGAGGAGACACCCATAGACCCTGCTATTGCCAAGCTGCTGGAAGAATATGCAGACCTAGTTAAGCCGCCTACAGGAGTAGTGTTGCGGCCGATCCAGGATCACATAGAGATAGAGCCTGGCAGTAGGACTCCTAAGGGAGCGATTTACAGAATGTCCCCGAGGGAGTTAGCGGAGCTACGTAAGCAGTTAGACGAGCTCCTTGAGAAGGGTTGGATTAGGCCCAGTTCCTCCCCATTTGGAGCACCTGTTCTCTTTGTCCCCAAGAAAGAGGGAGAGCTTAGAATGTGTATATACTATAGGGGTCTTAATGCTATCACAGTGAAGAATGCAGAACCACTGCCCGTATAGACGATTTGTTAGACCGGGTGCAGGGCTGCAAGTTTTTCTCGAAGATAGATTTAAAGTCCGACTATCATCAGATAGAGGTTCATCCTGATGATCAGTACAAGACAACATTCCGGACAAGGTATGTGCACTACGAGTTTATAGTTATGCCCTTTGGACTAACCAATGCGCCAACGACTTTCCAGCGCTGCATGAACGATTTGTTTAGGCCGTGGTTAGATAGATTTGTTGTAGTATATCTATATGATATTCTAGTGTTCAGTAAGACCCTCCAGGAGCATGAGGGTCATCTGAGGCAGGTCTTGAACAAGCTTAGAGAAGCTAACTTCAAGATCAACGCAAAGAAGTGTGAATGGGCCAAGACACAAGTGTTGTACTTGGGCCACGTCTTAGACGGAGACGGCGTTAGACCTGAAGACAACAAGATTGCAGCGATTAGAGACTGTCCAACGCCCCACACACTGACAGAGTTGCGGTCGTTCTTAGGCCTAGCTAATTACTATAGGAAGTTCGTTAGGAACTTCTCCACCATCGCTGCACCCCTTCACAGGTTGCTAAAGAAAGAGGCAATCTGGAAGTGGGACAAGGACTGTACAGCTGCCCTAAAAAGATTAAAGCGGGCCCTGATAGAATACCTAGTCCTTAAGGTAGTCGATCCGTCCCTGCCTTTCGTTGTTACCACTGACGCGAGTCAATATGGCATTGGTGTTGTTTTACAGCAAGACGATGGCAATGGATATAGGCCCATAGAGTTCCTGTCCGCCAGGATGCCTTCAGAGAAGGTGGCGACATCAACCTATGAGAGAGAACTCTACGCTCTTAGGCAAGCACTAGATCATTGGAAGTAGTACTTGCTTGGGAGACACTTCAAAGTCTATTCAGACCACGAGACTCTAAGGTGGCTGAAGACTCAGGCCAAGATGACACCTAAGCTTACTAGGTGGGCCGCAGAGTTTGACAAGTATGACTTTGAACTAAAGCCAACTAAAGGGAAGTACAATGTAGTAGCGGACGCTCTGAGTAGAAGAGCTGATTACTCTGGGGCAATATTTCACTATGTGGATATAGGGAGAGACCTGCAGCAGAAAGTAAGAGAGGCATATGCATAGGACCCTATCTATAGTGATCTCCTCAAGAGAGTTAGGGAGGCCCCAAAATCTGAGCCAAACTACCGCACTACTGATGGCTTATTATTTGAGAAGACTAATGTAGTTGATCGCCTTTGCGTTCCCAACAGTGAAGAGATCCGTAGTTTGATCTTAGGGGAATGCCATGATACAGAGGGACACTTTGGTTGGCAAAAAACACTAGCCAACCTCATGTGCGCATACATCTGGCCTGGTATGAAGGCCGACTGCATAGAGTATGTCCGCGTAGTAGTCAGTGGCAAGACTACTACGCGTGCTCCTCTTGGTCTTCTCAGACCCCTGCCTATTCCTGACAGACCCCGAGATTCTGTGTCCATCGACTTTATGGATACTCAGGTCAAGATTAGGAATGGCAAAAGTCAAGTCATGGTCATAATAGATAGATTTAGCAAGTATGCAGTTTTTGTTCCTTTGTCTGCAGAGGCACGCACAAACTTAGTAGTTCAAAAGTTTTTTGACCATTGGGTCAGTGAACATGGTATACCGTTGTCGATAGTTAGTGACAGGGATACCAGATTCACTAGTCAGAACTGGCAGGAGCTGATGAAAGTTTATGGCTCAAAGTTGCTGATGTCATCTGGTCGTCATCCTGAGACTAACGGCCAGACTGAGCAGATGAACAAGCTCCTGCAACAAGTTCTTAGAATGTACATTAGGCCCAATCAGATCAACTGGGATGAGATGCTCCCAAAGGTAGTCAGTGCCTACAATAATAGCGTGCACTTATCTACTTGTCGCACTCCCAACAAACTACACAAGTCCTTCAAACCGCGCAGACCGTTCGAAGGATTTAACCAGGGTCAGATTCAAAGGCTACCTCCTGGCACACGAGAGTTTGCGATACAGCACGAGAAAGAGATAGCTACCGTTGTTGACAACCTCAGGAAAGCCCAACACAGAATGATAGAGCAAGCTAACAAGCATCGTCGCCCCTCACCGTTTCAAGTAGGCGACTTAGTCTGGGTCAAGTCAAAAGAGTTTGCTCCTGAGGAGAACATCTCAAAAATGTTGTTACCTGCGTATAGAGGACCGTGGCCAGTCCTAGAAGTCAAGGGCGGAGAGGATGGACCGTCCTATACTATGGAGATTCCAGCACACCTCCACACCTGCCCAGTGTTCCATGCGTCAAAGTTGTTGCCTTGCGTTACAATTCAACAGTTTCCATCACACAGATCTATGATTCCTCCAGATATGGATGGAAGATATGACATTGAACGAATAGCAGGTGAGGATGTCTTCAGAACAGGAGGTAGAGGTCGTCCCCAGAAGCAATACAAAGTCAGATTTGCCTATCAAGAGCCAGAAGACGACCGCTGGTTCATGCGAACAGAACTTCTAGAAACAGCTCCCGATATAGTCCGAGCTTA